ATTTATATGGTGGGAATTCAGACATTGGCTAGAAAAGCTATATCCAGTAAATTCAAAGCACCACAGTGGATGTAGGGCCCATCAGATTCCCCACGTCTGTCACGTGATGGCTTCTGTGTGGCAGTGATTTTGGAAGCCGTGCCCCTGGTGTTTCACATACCAGCAGGATCATGCTTGATTAACAGTTTTCTTTCTTTTGTTTAATTGAGTGAAGGTTTGCAGAGCAAATCATCAGTTTTATATCCAACAAATCATATACTTCATTTCAATGATTGCAGTCCCCTCCCTGTACCGTATTTACCACTGTTCCCTGTAATTCTTGTACTCCTCCCTGTGTCTTCCTGTACCTTCATCTTTCTTCAGACAGCCTCCCTCCTGTATATTGCCTTTCCTGCCACCTGACATTAACATGTGTGGTGTTGTGCACTGCACTGTAAACCATGAGGTCGGCAGTTTAAACCCACCAGTTGCTTTTCGGAAGCCCTATACAGAGTCATTGTGAGTCGGAACCGACTTGATGATACTTAACAACAACAGCTATCCTTTAGCAAGTGAAGCTTCCAGACTAAGAATAAAGGCCTGATGATCTATTTCTGAAGATTAGCCAATGAAAACCCCGTAAGTCACAAGAGAGAACTGTCCAATATAGTGCTTTAAGCTGAGTCTCTTAGCACCCGTGGACTGCACAGCCCAATGATTGTGAGGGTGTTGTGGGGCCCAGCAGCACTTTGTTCTATTGCACATGGAGTTGCCATGAGAATTCAGGTCGATTCTCACAATAACAAATCCTGGAGGATCTCATCTCCAAACATCTGCAAAGACCCTTTTTCCCCACAGGAGGTCACATTCACGGATTCTAGGTGGACCATATCTTCTGCAGGGCCACCCTTCACCCTACTTCAATAATCCAGGAGCCAGGTTACCTACGTTCTCTAATGATTTATCTGACTTTTCCTTCCAAGGGTTGATTTTGAGAATTATAGTCATAACCCTGGACCTGAATATTTCATGCTGTTGAAATTGATTTTCGAATTGCCCTTTAAAAAGGATCCTGACCTTGTGTCTGTCACAGTACGTGTGGGTCTGTTAGTTTTCAGTGATTCATCCCATTCTGAGACTTGCAGGATCAAGCAACTGAAAATTTCTAATATTTAATTTTTAATTCTTCTGCTCTGTAAGCTTTTGATGTTTAAAAAAAAAACGTCTGCAGTAAGTCTGTCTCCTTTTTCAAGTTTCAGCATAAATGATAGACTGAGCTAACTTGGAGCTGTGTGCACTGAGAGCAATAGACCTCACACTTCTTGTGGTGTTTAAATTCAAGAGGCATGATCCCAGAATAGCATTCCTAAGCATTGTCTATAGATCATGTGGTGTTAGCATCATTAGTATAGAATAGAAATGGGTGTATATAAGCTTTATATAACTTTGGTCAAGTTTTATACTTTTCATTTAGTTACCTCCTAGAAAGTTTGAAATTTCAAAGCTGTCAGCAAAAATATTGATTATGAATGGGCCTTGGCTTTATAATGATACATGATATTATGCATTTGCTAGTTCCATAGTCCCCCATTTCAAAATTGAGTATAAAAGCTGTCCACAAAATAGATTTATCCATCCTGATCCAGTTTTCTTGCACAAAATCCTTAAACACATCAAGTAATGTGTAGACTGAATATATTAACATGAGGTTGTAAACTATATTTTTAAGGTTACAGTTATAACTTTTTAAGTGTGATAAAATGCCTTCCTTTTTTACTTTCCTCAATAAAATCTATCATTTATCGTGCTAAAGCCTTTATGGCCGAGCAAATGACAATCCTTTTGCAGAAGCGATACTGAATCTCTGCGAACGTAATTCAGTCACTACCTGGGCAGTTTTTCATGAACCACTTCCACATTTGGTTTTCATTTTTCTTTCAGAGGTGGGATACTGATAATCATTTAGCGTGGTCGCTGGTGTAACGTCCCCTTTTTTCCTTCCTTTGGTTTGTTGGTTATGAATTTTCAACCACCGTATAAAGTTCATCAGCTCTGCTCATTAAAACATGAATAATCTTAGAAATTTAAATAAACCGGAAGAAATCTTGCTGATCATTTTTGTTGCATTTTTTTCCCTTGCAAACAGTGAAATTGAAGTCCAACTATAAAAGTGGATTGTCATGAAACTACGCACTTTATTAGTGTATGTTAGGTACGCTTGAGCTGGTCGATTCGTAGTGACCCCAGTCACAATACAACCAAACCCTTGCCTGGTTCTACACCATTCCTGTGATTGATTCCTGATTGGATTATTGTGATACAAAGGTTTTTTATTGGCTGGGTTTTATACATAGATTGCCAGACCTTTCTTCCTAGTCTTTTTGAGTATGGTAAGTTCTCTGAAACCAGTTTAGAATCATAGCAACATGTAAACCACCAGTGTCCAATGAGCGCTGGTTGTGCATGACGTGCACTAGCCAGGAATTGAACCCTGGTGTCCAGTATGGAAGATGAGAATCCCACTCTAATTTTGTGTTCTTACAAATGATGAGATTGAAGTCTGTTGTAAAAACGTGCAGTTCCTCTCATGAAACTAAGTCATTTGTTGTTGTTAAAGTGCCTTCAAGTGGGTTCCAACTCAAAGCAACCTGATACAGGGTTTACAAGGAACGACTGGTGGTTTTGAACCACTGACATTGGGATTAGCAGCTCAGTGATTATCCTGCAGTGCCACACCAGGACTCCACAAATCATTCATTGTTGTTGTTAAGTGTTGTTGAGTCTGTTCAGACTCTTAGCGACCTTGTATAGGGTTTCCAAGGAGTGGCTGGTGGGTTGAATTGCTGACCTTGGGTTCGCAGTCCAGTGCATATCCTGTCACACGGAGACTTCAAGTTATTCATTGTTGTTGTGATTGTTGTTGTTGTTAAGTACTGTGGAATCTGTGCCTACTCATAGCGACCCTGCACAGGGTTTCCAAGGCTGTAAATCTTTACGGGAGCAGAAAGCCTCATCTTTCTCCCATGGAACGGCTGGTAGTTTCGAACTGCCGACCTTGAGGTTAGCAGCCCAATTCGTAACCACTACGCTACCAGAGCTCCTTGTTGTTGTTATTAAGTACTATCAAACCAGTTCAGATTCATAGTGACTCTGTATATGGTTTCCGAGGGCAGGTAGCTTGTGTGTTTGAACTGTTGACCCTGTGATTCCCAGTCCAGTGCTGTGCCTACAGCTCCACACGAAGAATTGTTGTTAAGTGCTGTCAAGTCTTAGATATTCTTTGTCTGAATATATGCATATGTTTTGACAAGATACGGGATACACTGTACTTCTAACCTAGCTTTAGATTGCACACAATTTTTCCATGTTAAAAAATAAAATATCATTATCATGACTTTTTAGTTCCGTATGCTGGAAATGCAAATCATTAGTAGTTAAACAAACAAACAAAGCAAAGGGATTTTTTTTTTTTTTAACGTACTGGGGAAGTTGAAAGATGAGGCTGCTTTCAGTAGTGGCTGGATCCAGGAGCACCTGATCACATTATCAGGTTTTCTCTTGACCTCTTGTCTCTTTCTACTCTTGTTTTATCCTCCCGACTTTCTGTTTTGCTGGGAGGGAGTCTCTCTTTTGTTTTAGTTGGAACAGAAGTACCAGGGCTTACCCTTACAGTAGGACCATCATCATTGGTCTAAAACATTGCTTGTCAGGACCATGGAGCCGGAGTTCCCCCATAGCAAGTACCGTTGCTCCCCTGTTGTAGAGGGTCTCCTTTGCTCAAGACACCTTTAGTGGCTATCTGTTGTCCCTGTATAATTAGGAAGACTACCACCCCCTTTCATTCTTTGACCTGCTCTGGCTTGAATGTTGATCATACTTTGTGGAGACTTTAACTGTGGAGTATTTCTGAGATTTTGGCTTGTTTGTGTTTAGTTCCCAGGTGCCAAGGATCCCAGCTAGTCTTACACAGAATTGCTGTATTACCCCATTCCAGGGGTACCATTCACGATGAACCCACTGTGGAGAGTGCCCCTGAAGTTGCATGATGCTGTGTGACATGGAGGTCTTGCACTCCAGTAGCATGCTGTTTGATCAACACTGGTGTAATGTTGGAGAAAATAGATTTGCAGTCCGGATTTAAATTTCTGGCTCTGCACCGTTGATAGGTTTATTGAACTGTTCTGTGTGCCTTGGTTTTCTCATATTCCTTAGCTTGAGCCCACCTCCTTTCAAAATCTTATATGGGTCCTTTAGCATTTTCACCTTATTTATGGAAACTCTCCATTCAAATTCAAATTGCAGAAGCAGCATAAAGTCTCTGCCCCTAAAGAGGAAGCAGGCTTATGTTTACTTTGTCACGACTTAGGCAAGCCCTGCCTCTGGAGAAGTTCCACTGTGACTACTTTTAACTGAGTTTTTATTTCAGTTCATTTTTCTAAGAATCTTTTTTAAGTACCTGAGAGATAATATCACCATGCATCAATATGTGAGCGTGGGTAAAGGGAACATTTACATACAGAAGACTTGTGGATTTTGAATGCTGTTAAATTACAAATAGTATTAAGTATTATTCAAATGATATCTAGAAGATACTTTAGTTCTTTGTCAGGATAGTATTTTATAGAGAATATGTAATACGTTTTTCTATTTAGTTACCAGTTTTTGAATCAGTTCTCCCATAAATGTAAGACTAGCAAAGGTAAGATGAATAATCATATAAATCTACATAGCATTCTTTATCTGTATACGGAGTGTCGGGAAAGCTCCTCTGTTCTGTGTTTTCTCCTGTACCATGTGAAAGTTTTGATTCAGTGTGACAGATGTGTGAATGAGCTATTTGAGGTGGGTTCTCAAAGAAAGGGCAAGGCATTCTCGTTTTGTCAGGCATCTCAAAAACTATTTGGGTAATAAATGATTTCTTAGAATTCCTTGTGGGTTTCAGCATAAGAAGCTAAATGATTTTGACATTAGTGATGTACCTGTATTAGCCACTTAACCTTTTTTTCCCTTCTCGTTTTTAGGATTCTGAGTAACAATAAAATATCCGAGCTGAAGAATGGCTCATTTTCTGGGTTAACTCTTCTTGAAAGACTGTGAGTATTCTTTCATGATCATTCCTTGTTATCCAGTCATGTCACTCATAGGCTGTGTGGGTGTGGGCCATGCTGGTTGCATGTCAGATGGGATGACAAGCTAATGACTTGGTATAAAAATTCTGCATGGTTTCAGCAGGAGTTTCTTATTTTTATGAAAATATCCCTGTAGTTAAAACAACAAAGACATTTTTCATAAGGCCAGCTTCCGTATAGAAATACACCCGCACAGGTAAAACTTGATGCTGACTTACTTCTAAAGCTTTCAGGTCAGAGCTGTCATTGTTGCCCAATGATAATGATGCGTAGAGTCACATGACTTCATCTACATGCCCTTCAAGTACACGCTGTTGTTTTGGCTGCCAGTGTTTTTAATAGCACGTTTTTGTCAATTTTTCTGGTGTTTTAGCTATAATAGTGTGTGAGTTGTTGTTATTATGTACTATCAAGTTGGTTCTGACTCATAGAGACCCTATATAGGGTTTTCCGAGGAGCGACTGGTGAGCTTGAACCACCGACGTTGTGGTTCAAACCAAATTGACCTGCGATCCAGTGCTTATCATACAGAGCCATGCCAGGACTCCAGTGTGGTAGTTAGTATTTTTTAAAACCTATATCAATACACTTTTTCTGAGAAAGAAGTAGTAATTAAAGGAAAAGAAAGAGAAAAATCAAAAAAGGCTGCTGCTCAGTTACTAATGATGTAACTAATCATGTAAGTCAGTGTAGAAAGATTTTATACATTTTGTTTGTGTGTGTGTGTCTATCCATATATATATATATTTGTATGGCGCTGTGGGTTAATGTGCTAAACTGCAAGATTGCTTTGAACCGCAAGGCTGATGGTTCATGGTCACCAACTGCTCCTTGGAAACCCTATACAGGGTCACTATTAGTCAGTACTTACTCAGTGGCACTTAACAACAACAACAACATACATTTATATACATATATGTATATAGATGTATATATACATGGAGTCCTGTGGGTTAATGCGCTAGACTGCAAGGTTAGTTTGAACCTGAAGGTCAGCAGTGGTTCTTTTTGCTCCTCAGAAACCCTATACAGGGTCGCTATACACTTTTGAAAGTAAATATTGAATTGTATTCCAACATGTTACTATGAGAATTTTAAAGAATTAAAAAAAAAAACAACTAATTGCTTAAAGTAGGGACAGGTGAATTTTTTGAGAGCTAGACAGATAAATATTTTAGAACGTATGATTTCTGTTGTGCTTACTCAGTCTTGCCATTGTAATATGAAACTAGCCAAAGACCGTAAATAAATGAATGGGTACATATCTTCTCACAAAACAAAACAAAACAAAACAAAACAAAACAAAACAAAAACTTTATAAAAGCATGCAATGGATCCTAGTGTATTGACTGTTATTTAAAGCATGGATGTTGTTTTGAGAGTCTTCCTCATGAAATCTGTTTACTATGTAAGATAGAATTGAACAAAGAAAAACTTAAGATAAACTTTTGGAATCACTTTGATATTTTGTTTCAGATGTTTTTGAATATGATACTTAACATTTTGTATTTTTGGTTAGAGTTTACAAAGAAAATTAGGTTCCTGTATGACAGGTTCATACACGTTAGTGTTGTATTCTTTCAGTATACTTACACAGTCTGTGTGCTGAGTACATAATCCTAGAAGCTGGATTTTATGAAGGGAGAATGTGGCTTCTGGATTACAGGAAGACTCATTAACACTCTCTATTATGCAGACGACAGAACCTTGTTTGCTAGAAGTGAAGAGGACTTAAAGTCTTACTGGTGAAGATCAAAAACTATAACCTTCAGTATGAGTTGCACCTCAATATAAAGGAAACTAAAATCCTCACAATGGGAATAGCATCACGATAAATAGAGAAGAAATTGAAATGGTCAAGGACTTTATTTTGCTTGGATCAACAGTCAACACTCATGGAAGCTGCAGTCAAGAAATAAATGATGCTTTATGTTAGGCAGGTCTGCTGCAAAAGAACTCTTTAAAATGTTAAAGAGCTAAGATGTCAGTATGAGTTGTGTCTGACCCAAGCCATGATATTTTCAGTTGCCTCATCGTCACATGAAAGTTGGATAATGAATAAGGAAGACCGTAGAAAAACCAATGCATTTAAATTGTGGTGTTGGCAGAGAATATTAAAAGTACTGTGGACTGCCAGAAGAACAAGCTAATCAGTCTTGGAAGAAATAAAGCCAGAATGTTCCTTAGAAGCCAGAATGGTGAGCCTTCACCTCTCATTCTTTGGACATGTTGTCAGGAAGGACCAGTCCCTGGAGAAGGACATCATGCTTGGTAAAGTGGAGGGTCACTGAAAAAGAGGAAGATCTCCAATGAACTAGATAGACACAGTAACAGCAACCGTGGACTTAAACATGGCAATAATTCTGTTGTGACTAGGGACGCTGAGAGTCAGAGCTTACTTGAGGGCACCGAGCAACAGAATCAATTACATGACAGTTTTGTCCAAATTGTTCAGTGACAGTTTGTTACATATTTTCTGGAACTGTGTTCTGGTGGTTCTGTTTCTAGCAGTTGAATTTCCTTGGTTCCTTATCGTCTCTCGTTCTTGTTTATTTTTTTCCTCCTTAACTTTTTATTGTGAACTGAGTGAAGGTTTACCAACAGGATTATCAACTTTATGTTCAACAAATTAAACACTTTGTTTCATCTCAGTGGTTACAATCTCCTCCCTGCAACAATTATCCTACATCTAACTTGTAGACTCCCCATATATATCTCATATTTCACAAATGAACAAAGTAAAAATATTAGAAGTGCACATACAAGCCCCCAAAATATATTCATTTAAATGCCCAAAAGAGCACCTTCTGCAGGCCAGTGTCCTGCTTGCAGGCACGAAGCTTTCCTCAGCCCATGGGTACAGAGCCCGTAGCTGCTCTGTCTCTCTCTGCCACCATCTCTGCTGTCTCCTTGTTTCTAGGGAGTCTTCTCATCTTTGCTTTGGAGTAATTGTTGACCTTTTGGTCTCATATTAATGTATTTTTAATGAATTACCATACTCTCAATCAATAGCTTTGATTTTGTGTACCATCTCATTTTACTAAAAGGTGTTTTCAAGGGAAGTTTTGGTTCCAGATTTAAATCCTAGGGTTACAGTCTCAGGGAGTCCTCTGGTGTCAGCTGGACTCATAAATCTGGACTTTGTTGTAGGAATTTGAGTTCTGTTTGTGTTTTTCTCCCATTTAAGCAGGGTCCATCAATTGTGGCTCTAGTCACAGTGGTTGGTAGTGACAGCTGGCCACCAGCTAGTCCCTCTGGTCTCATTGTAGATGAGGTCATGGCTTGTGGAGGCTATCGCTAGTCTTGTAGACTGGTTTCTTCTCTCAAATGATAGCCTTTTGCTCTGCAGCCAGACCTAGTTTTTGCTTATGATCAGATGTGTTATAAGTTGTTGTGAAGTGCCATTGATTCGGTTCTGATTCATAGCGACCTTGTATAGCGTTTCTATACAACTAGGAAGGTTGAACCATCCACCTTTCGGTTCAGCTGACCTGCAGTCCGGTGCATTAACCTGCACTCTGTGTTAGAAGTAACACTCATTATTTTTAAGTTTGTCAATCATTTTGTGTTTGTTGCTGCCATTGAGTCAATTCTGACTCATAGTGACCCCGTAGGGTTCCCGGGGAGCATGTTTGAAGCACTGACCTTACGGTTAGCAGCTTAGTGTTGATCCCACAAATGTCACATTGGCACTTTATTTTAGACAATGGCTATTTATTTTGTTTTATTCTGATTGATTAGTCCAAGTTCATATTTTACATTACTAAGACATTTAGCATAACTTTTCAGAATGCATAAGGCGGCAGCTAGCTGTATTGTGAATAATTCTACTTAACGTTGAATTAAATATTATTCTCATTTTTATTAAGTCTGTTTGCCCTGCTTCATTTTCTGTATTTTTCTGTGACTGGTTTCAAGCGACAATTCATTCTTTTGCAGTTTTGGGCATTGTAGGTGTGAATTGAGGGTGTAAAGAGGCCAGGCTCTCTCTGAAGGATTTAGGGAAGAACTTTTCTTGTTTCTTCCAGCTCTGGTTTGTAGCAGTAGAGTTCTTGTCTTCATCTTATTTACATTGTCTCTTCTTTTATAGATATCCCACTCAGCTTGGATCAGGGCCTAACCTACTCCAGTATGACCTCAGATTATTATAGTTGATTATATAAAGGGAGCCCGAGGCGGGGGCTGCTAGCCTCAGAGTTGGAGGTTCAAGCCAACCAGCCACTGTACAGTTTATAGCGTTAGAAACCCTATACTGGATCACTATGAGTTTGAATTGACTTGATGATGCTGGGTTTGGTTTAATTATATCTTCAAAGGTTCTGTTTCCAAATAAAATGCCTGTTTATGTATACATACTGGTTTTGAATGGGGCTGCTAATCTCACGGTCAGCAGTTCGAAACTCCTAGCTGTTCTGCAGGAGAAAGATGAGGCATTCTGCTCCCATAAAGATTTTATGGAAACCCCTGTACAGGGTCGCTATGAGTTGGAACTGACTCCACGGCACACAACAACAACATGTGTATATATGTGTGAAGTTCTGGTGTGGTGCTGTAGGCTAATGCACTGGACTATAGAATTGGTATGAACCACAAGGTCAGTTCAAACTCATCAGTCGCTCCTTGGAAACCCTATGTAGGGTCAATATGGGTTGAAACCTACTCAATGGCACTTAAAAACACATGTGTATGTATGTCTGTATACATATATAAGGGAGCCCTGTGGCACTGTATGATAAGCATTGAACTACTAATTGCAAGATCGGTAGTTTAAACCCACCAGCAACTCCTCAGAAACCCAGTACAGTGAACTGTATTATTGGATTTTTCTGGGCTATTGTAGTTGTGGAAGAAGATGGCCAGGCCTTTCTTCTGTCGAACCACTTGTTGTTAGGTGCCATCGAGTAGGTACCAACTCATAGTGACCTTATGCACAACAGAAAGAAACACTGCCCCGTCCTGGGCCA